GTACACACTGCTCTTGAACACAGATTACCCTCTTCTTCCTGTTTACTGCCAACCAGAGCTAAGTTCAAGGCCTAGGTCTTTTGATGGGTAACCTGATGTGTTGAGGAAACAAACGCTGCAAATGCAATAAATGCTGCAAGAAGCTCAAAATACTACGGAAACCAGGGGACACTAAAAAGTGACGCACACTGCTGGGACCGGAGCACTTGGTGACGTTCAGGATTACAAAACTGGACAACTGTCTCTGTTGTTGGAAATTTACCTAAAATGTTTTATCGGATTATTTTAACAATGTTATCACATGATTCCTTCTGATATTACTGCAGATCTGCTGTAAGCTAGCTAGCTAACGTAGTCATTTCAGATATTCTGTGAACACTTGCCATTATGAGACAGACTAACTCTGCGAGTGTTGTTACGCCCGGCCACCGTAGATGAGAGATCCAGAAAAAAGTAATTTATTTGATGTGTACTCATTGCCTTTGTTATTTAGTCCACCCCGTACTTTACAACGTTACATTTTATTTGCTTAATACTAGAACCGTCAACGGGTCAATTCTACCCGCAGCTGTTTTTTGATTGTATGTAACTTTTTTTCAATAAAATAGTAAAGTCTCCCAGTCCGTGACTTTTCCTGAAAGTGTGTTATGTAGCACCCTCTGTTGTAAAAATTGTCAATATGAAGTCAGATATTGGGTAATATTTACCTCATAGAAATAGCAGCGTAAACATGACATGTTGCTATAGCAACGCCTTTTGTCTACTGTGGTTCCTTATAGATAGAGAGATAGATTGAGAGATAGATAGATAGATAGATAGATTGATAGATTGATTGATTGATAGATTGATTGATTGATAGATGGATTAATAGATAGATAGATTAATAGATTGATTGATTGATAGATAGATAGATTGATTGATTGAGAGAGAGATAGATAGATTGATAGATTGATTGATAGATGGATTAATAGATTGATTGATTGATTGATAGATAGATGGATTAATAGATAGATTAATAGATTGATTGATTGATTGATAGATAGATAGATTGATTGAGAGAGAGAGATAGATAGATAGATTGATTGATAGATGGATTAATAGATTGATTGATTGATTGATTGATTGATTGATAGATAGATAGATATATAGATTGAGAGAGAGAGAGATAGATAGATTGATAGATAGAGAGAGATAGATTGATAGATAGATAGATAGATAGATAGAGAGAGATAGACAGATAGATAGTTATAGATAAATCGATAGATAGTTATAGATAGAGATAGATATTTGTACCTAAACAAAACAAAAGTCTAACACCAAGCGTTTAAATCAGCACTGGTAGCTATATTCTATACCTCATGCTATCTGCACAAACTATATCATATGAAATGCTGAGAGTCCACAGATTCTATTGGTATAAGTTTCATCCCTGTGCGATCAAAACTCACTGTTCTACATGATAAATAAAAGAACATTGTACCTTGAAAATCAATAGCGGGTAAATTTGACCGGTTGGCGGTTTTAGGTATACAGCGACCTCTGGCGGTTCTAGTGTTAAGAGCTGCAGGAAAACTAATCATACATATTGTGACTGGATCCATCCTTTTTTTGCAACATTTCATCTTTCCATTAAAAATACTGAACATATGACAGCACAGCTTCACTCCATCAGCTCTCCATCGATACCTGAAATCCAAAGCACTTTGACTAGATCTGGCTCTGTCATCACTTCCTGTCAGCAGACAAGTTGATGTGATGTTATGTGACGAAGGTAACTTCGTCACTGTGGACTGACGGCTTCGGGCCTTGTACTATTGCACATGTGGTTTTATTTTGAAAAGTGTTTCCCTTTCCCTATGTCTGTTACTCCTGATTATGTTCACCTGGTGCCCTGTGTTGTCTCCTCCCCCCCCCCCACCTGTGTCTAATGGCTGATTAGTGTGTGTGTGTATTTAGGCTCTGTTGTTCTGTCTGTTTTGGGGCAGGTAGTGTGTGTGAGATCCTTGTGGCTGGTGACGGTGCTCACAAAAAAAGCAAGATTGAGGCTGTGTCCTGGGCTCGAGTTTAATAAATGCCCACACAGGGTTATATTTTTGGACGTTCTGCCTCTGCCTCCTTGCTTGGTCAGGCCGCTCAATTGTCAGCTTCACATGTTAATTTGAGTTTTTTTCAAATGGACTAGGATGTATTATCAAAGAAGCCACTGGTCATTAGTGCAAAAATGCTCTCAAAATAAGCTGCGTACAGGCACAGGTTGGCTAAACACACTGAAACTGAAAGAACACAAGTGTTTCCAATTTGAACATTATCAGTAAACTGTCAGCATTTATTTGACTGCTTACTTAAAGTTGTGCTGTAAAAGGGTTGTAACAAAATGGTGACAGATGTAGACCAAAGACTGCAGACAGCAAAAAGTGAGTTCACCTTTTAGAAAAGGTACCTTAGAAAGGTTGTTGTTAGTTGTTGCTAGCTGATAAATGCCTGTCAGAGTTCATGATATGTAAACTTATATCTGAATCCTTTGGAAGCCCATTAAAACAAAAATAGTGAAAGGGACCAGTGACCAACATTTGAGTCACGGTTTAAGAGTGAAGGAACAGAGAGTCGTGCCTGGGTCAATTATTGACATATCTGTAATATTCATATTAAAAATAAGAAGATGTTTGCACTGCTAAACAACAAAAATTATATATATTTGTTTATCTTATAAGGCCTTTAAGTCTCCAAAACCAGAACTTGGGTAGAATTCTAGGGTTAGGGTTAAGCAGAATGTTTGTCACAAAAGTTCAATATTATAGACTCACAGTGTCACACTGATCAGTGTGACACTGTGAGTCTATAATATTGAACTTTTGTCAATATTTAAATTTTCAGAGATATCAAATTTGGGGTTTTCATTAGCTTTAAGCCGTAATCATCAAAATTAAAATAAATAAACACTTGAAATAATTCCCTTTGGGTGAAATGAATCTATATCACAAAGGAGTTTCACTTTTTAAATAGAAATACTGAAATGAATCAACTTTTCCACGATATTCTAATTATTGAGATACCTGTATGTCTCGCCTAACTCTGATGTGTCCCCTGCCAGATTGTCTTGTGTGTTTTGCCAAGTGCTCGAGGGTTCAGTTCGTATTATCTGGTCTGCCCAGTTTTGACCCTGCCTGGCTGATTTTGAGCCTTGAGTTTCCTGCCTGCCCCCTGATTGGATCGGTTTGCTTGTTTGCCAGATCTCCTGGTTCTGAGCCCCATTCAGCCTGCCCCCTTTATTGGCTTTGGTTACCTAATTCCTGGGTTTCCTGGTTTTGGCCCTGCCTTAAACCAACTTGAATTAAACTGAACTTTTTGAACATTGTCTGTATCTGTGTTCATTGGTTCAAATAATCTTTAAAGATGTTTGCACTGGTAAACAACAAACATTATATATATATTTATTATCTTATAAGGCCTTTAAGTCTCCAAAACCAAAACTTGGGTAGAATTCTAGGGTTAGGGTTAGGGTTAAGCAGAATTCACATGACAAGCAGTAAAACGGCTCTACATTGCCATTTCGATGCGCAACCAATTTGTGTGTAGCAGCTCATAATGATAACTAGGAATATGCTTTGTTGGATTTAGGTAATTAGAAAATCACTATCTGGATCATGCTCAAAAGTTTTTGTTTTTTTATCCGTTTTAGTTTTACTTTCAATAGCCTTGTCAGGAATGAACTTCCATAGAATCCTTATCATAAGAGATGTGTTTAATCTCAATAGACAGTGTAAACATTACCAATGACAGAGGTCAGACTGCAAATGTTTTTATGTATATCATACTCTGTATTTCCACATTCAGGACAATGACAGTAAATATATCTTGTCACCACTGTTTTTGCCCCCCCTTTCCTTACAATGGACCCAACAGCAATACAAAGTCGAGACACACTTGCACAGAGGAAAATATATTCTTGCGCAATATTGACAATTTAAAAACTTTAAGTCTGTGTTAATGATGGTAATGGTCACTGGTGTCTAAACAAGTTAAATGTGTAAGAAGTAGATTATTTCACTCAGGGGTCTGAAATGTCAGAAAATAATAATACAAATAATAAAAATCAATGCAGAAGCTAATTCAGTCCCAAATATGAAGCAAGTTCCATGAAACAAAACCCTTTTGAAGAACCTCTCTTCAATAAATAAATCACGTAAATAAGACACAAATTAATTTAAATAAATAGATAAATAAATAAATATACTTATGTACAATGAAGAGATTCAGAAGAACCTGTAAAATGAGCCTTCTGGAAACACAACGCAGACCGACTAAAACATGCGTGGTCCGTTCAGAACACTCGGTCAGAGCCCTCGGTCAGAACACTCGGTCAGAACCCTCGGTCAGAACACTCGGTCAGAACACTCGGTCAGCGGTTAGCGGGGCCAGCAGACACATTTGATGCGCTGCTGCAGATGCATTTGGCACAACCTAACACTGTAACACTGATCCGTCCTCCTGTTGGCGTCGGCACATCTCAGGACACAAGAGGCTCACTGTACACTCAATCATTTACTGTAATGTAGGTGAACGGGAGAAAGAAACATGACTACTGGCTTTAAAATGATCTGTTTGTCCTTTTTATCTAAAATAACTTATTCAATGTTAAATAAATACTATGGTTTACGGAAGACGATTAGGGCCAAACATTATTATCTTTTCTGAGTTCTGACTTTTCTCTAAGAATTAAAGGTCACCTATTATACTGTTTTTCATCAATATAGGTCTCAGATATATACAGAGTCTGTCTCTGATTGGCTGAAACACTAAACAGATCATTGCAGCATTACCCATAATTCCCTCTGTTTCAGCCCTGTTTCCAAAGTGCTGATTCTCTGTCTGTTACTTTAGATGAAAATAAGGAGCCCCTCCCCACGCCCCTCTGAGAGAGATTTGGTTACAAAGAACTCAATGGTGCTCTAGGAGGAGATTCAGGTGATAAGGGGGGGGGGGGGGTTACCTTGGTTGGTGATTGGCTAATGGTTACACAAGCCGAAAAATCGTTATGACATCATAAAGTGGCCAAAATCTGATCATCTCATTTTCAGACAGGTTTTTATAGAAATGGATCAGGACAAAAAGAGAGAGAATCTTTGTTCCTGAAACTTTCAGAATCTCTTTCCATGCTCAGGCCCGCCCCTCCCTACACGCAGATCACGCAGACTGCGTGGGGCCTCACCTCGCGGAGGGGGCCATCATCTGAAGCGTAAATGCGGCGCAATTAAACGCGCCACAGTATCGCCGACACAGAGGGTCTCATCACATAACTTTGCGTGGGGCCACAAGTTGGCGAGGGGCAGCCCTGCACATGTTTAAGTATAAAAGACATGAAAGAGTGGATTTTGCATAATAGGTGACCTTTAAGTCCCAATTATAATAATAAAGCCAGGAGTCTTACATTAAATGTACAATTTTGACTCATTTTGGACAGAACTAAAAAAACTGTCATGTTGCACTAATATTTATTGAGTTCTGTCTTTCTCTGAATTCTGACTTGACTCAGGATTCTGTGTATAAAGTCTGAATTTGTGTGGCCCTAATCCTCTTCCATATCGGGTTATTAGAGACTTGACTTTGCCCACTTACCCAGAGTCAGACACACTTTCAGAAGCCTTTTTGTACCGGTATAGCAGTACAACGTTGAATACAAAGCTCTGTCTAGCTTAGCTCAGTTTATAGATGTGCAATCTAAGGTCTGAGGAAAATAAGAATTCATTTAAACTTTGGTTCATAATTCAAGCATTGACCTTCTACTTTTCTTCCAGATTAGTCTGACTAACTTTGTAACAGCCAGTCCGATCATCTGACAAGTAACTCTCTTTCTGTCTCGTTTGTAGCTTTTGGGTTGCACTGTCAACATTACTTGACCAACCAGGTAGAGCTGCAAAAAAACAAGACCCAAAAAACATCCTTAAGACACACAGTTGAACTTTTCAAGTAACTTCCTTCTTCACTGTGTTTCCCCAACAAGAGGCTCCATATTTAAAATGGTAATTTTGATTTAGGTTACAGGTGGTACATGCTGCATTAGCCTCTATCTACATTTAAGCTCAGGTTTGAAAACACTGTGTTCAACATGTATCTGTGGTGCTGTTGGAGAGGCTGGTTTCCTGCCAACTCCCCCATTAGTAATGAGACTAAGCACATTGTAAAGGCTACTCCAACATCTTTCAACACATATCATTACATCAAACATATCTCAGCGGGTCAGTCAACAAATAACATGGGGACAGGTTTAAAATGAATAAAAGCATTCTCCTGAACAATCGGCGCTACTATTTTTAACCTATGTTGTGTTTTTGCCTGTTTTTATATTTACTTAGAAAGGCACATTATGTTATAACAACTGCATTTTGTAAAAATATGCTGCCATTTTCTATAAACAACCTAAAAAGCAAATAGTTTTAACATTTTTGAAATAAATTAAATTAGATTTTTTGCAGGAACATTTTCTACCTTTTCCATTGAAGCTGTTGATTACCAAATGAGGCAGAATGTTACAAAGTGCAGGGGGTTATTACTTCATAAAGAGACATGTATTTCCTTTTGTCGGGTTATTACTGTAATGTATGGCTGTTATTTGATTCCATTGATTTCAATGTATTGAGTTAAACACAAAGTCAAAACATGAACATCGAACACCATTCCTAAGTTTCCCTGACTCTGGGTCAGTAGGAACAGTTAGTGGCATTCATTGCTTATAAAAGGCCCTCAGCTCCTGTTCTGCAGCAGACACTGTAAGCACGTCTTTGATATTGAATACTGAACGCCTCCCTTTGTAGCTGGAGTAACCTGGCCTTAGCTAAGGAGGGGGGGGGGGGCACACAATGCATTAGCAGCCTCATAAACATATACGCTCAAACTCAAACAATAAATATCATCAGTATAGAGGTTAATTACAAAATCAGATCTCCTCTAATTTGGATTAAATGATCTCACCAAGAGAAAGGCCACTTCCAGACCCATTCTAAAGGAAGGTATTTATTAGTTTCAATCCAGAAATATCAAGCTCTTTGTTTTCAATATGATTAATTTAGGATAGGAAAGCCTGGTACCGTCAGCAGACTCTGAAGAATGACAGTCTGGACTGTCTGAACTGCCTTTCTGTTCAAAACGTTTACAGTTTACAGCCCATCCTCCAGATCTGTAAATCAAATCATATGCGTACAAAAAATGCAGGGAGAAACGATGAGCCACTCAACGCCAACACAAAGAAATGTAAACTGTTGTTTTTCAAATTGTCTCCTTTTTTCTGATAAGACACAGAAATGGAAAAAGGTGGTGGTATCCCAAAAAGAGGGGATCCTGTGAGTCCAGGAAACACACTTCACACACAGGAAGTGGGGAAAAGAGAGGGTTCCATCCCTGTCGTTCACTTCCTGTTCTTTAGTTCTCTGTTTCCTGTTTCTCCAGCAGTATGGATCTCTCTCTAAACAAGGGAAACCTGGACCTTTAAGACCTCCTCAGAAAAGAAAATAACAGCAGATATATTACACAGAGTGATGAAAATAGAAACGTCATGGTCTGAGTTTTACTTACCATATACAGTATGTGTGTGAGTGTGTTTATAGTGTATGAGTTCCACCAGCTCAAACACCAAAGTCTGTATTTCCCTTTTCCTCTCCGCTGCTTCTAGATATGTCCATTCAGCTTAAAAAAAAATCATCAAAGTCTTTAGAGAAGCTCTCTCCCGTAAACGAAAACCTTTAGTTAATTCTGAAAAAAAGAAACCTGCTGTCAGACAAGACGTCTCCGCTCCAGCATCTTCTCAAATGAAGCTCCGCCGCCCTCCGGCTCCGACACGTTCCATCGCTCCTGCCTCTCTGTCCGCCTGGGGGCCAGTCTACTCAATGGGGGGTGGAGGAGGAAGACGGGCGAGGAAGGGGGGGCAGGAAATGAGGAGCGGTACGGTCTCCTGCACTGAAAGAGTGATGAAGAGTAAGGAGGAGGAAGGTAGGAGGAAGGTAGGAGGATGGCGGCGGTCCTACTCGATGACCATGCAGTGCGGCAGGTGCTGGGAGTAATACTTGAAGAGCTCGGCCGTGGCCCCGGGGCAGTTGGTGAGCTCCAGCTCCTCCAGCTCCTGCAGCTGGATCAGGCCCGACAGCCCGGTGGTGGTCAGCAGGGGGCAGCCTGGGGGGGAGGGGGGAGGTCACAGGAGACATGAACTGCTGTTTCACAACTTGTATGTATTTTGTATGTAAACATTTTAAACATATACAAGGCAGGGGGATAACTTAACCTTCTTTCTTAATAGTTCCCACTTTAGTTTGTAGGGTGTGTCAGGATTGTGGAAATGAATGTAAAATAATTTCTAGATCTTGACAAGTTGTTTTGATCATAAAGTTGTTCAGTTCCAGATTCCTGACTAAATGTTGTGAGCCTTTTTAGATACACTGTGATCTGTGAGTTGTAATGCACATGTGTTCATGATACACTGAGGCATTGTATTGTTGAAATTGCACACATTTTCTGAAGAAATTTAAGATTTCTTAAAAGATAGTTAATTAAATGTTACATTTTCAGAATGTACTTTTTTACACTAAAACACAGGGAAGGAGTTGTCGTTTTTATATGCTATTTGCTATGATTTTACTGGTCTGGCCTATTTGAGATCAAATGTGGCTGAATGTGGCCCCTGCACTACAATGAGTTTGACCCCCCTGCTCTAAATAAATGTCCGTAAATTGAGAAAAATTCCCATCACAACATGTCATTGGGTGTGTGTGTGTGTGTGTGTGTGTGTGTGTGTGTGTGTGTGTGTGTGTGTGTGTGTGTGTGTGTGTGTGTGTGTGTGTGTGTGTGTGTGTGTGTGTGTGTGTGTGTGTGTGTGTGTGTGTGTGAAAGAGTTCAGGTCTAGTTCCGTGTTGGGGCTAGTTTGGTTTTTAAGGGGTTCACCAGTTTGCTGTTCGAATGACCAGAGGTCGAGAGGACAACAAGCTTGAAAACTCCACAACAATGGCGGACTATGTTTGAGCTGTGCTCATGTTGCTAGTAAACTCATACACAAGTAAGATTAAATGGCAGAAACAACTTCTTCAACTTTATATTCCAGAGTGACGTGGGCGTGGCTAATGGTTTGCTGCTATTGTTCTGTAATGCTGAACCCCTGAAGAGGTTCACTGTTGGTGTTCTACCGGCACACAGCCTAAATGTCCGAATGCATCTTCCCCTTTAAGTACTGTGGCCCGATACATATTTTCCAATAAAAGCATACCTGCCAACCCTACCGATTTGGGCGGTAGTCTACTGCTTTTGACATGTTTCTACCGCCTACCGATTTAGCTGGCTTTTCCTACCGAATGTTATTCTTCCCAAATTATAAAAAATAAAAATGACACTGGACTGGACTTTTAGCGGAAACCGATTGCAGCGTGTCTGTGATCCCATCATACAAACAGTCCTCTGTGTTTCTGAAAGAGAAACAACGTGCAGAGGAAGGGCAGCGTTACCCCCAGGACTGCGGTCAAGCCAGCCTCCACTTCAGAAAACACAGTCAAGCCAGCCTGCCGCAGTCCCCCGGGACTGATAATAATCAGTCATCACTCCCAAATGAGTTTAGGGGAACAGAGACGAGGCATTTGAGTCCTGCAGGATTTCCCCGTTAATATCAGTGTCTCGAAAACACATGTTGGCGACTGAAAGACATCCAGTGTTTGGTCTTTTCCTGAAGCATCCTTCACCTACAGTGTCTCAACTGAAAGAGGACAACAAACACACAAAAAATATAATACCATTTTGAGATTCTGGGATATTTATCTCCCATTCTTTCACTTTTTCTGACATTTTCAACACCAAACATGTCGTTAATGTCTCTGTTTAGTGAACTACAGCAATCTGAAAGCCTGTACATTATTTATATCACACTGCAAAAACAAGCAGGAAATGACATTTTTAATGCAGTATTTTCTGATTTATGGCGCAACACAAAGATATATCGCTCTGTACAAACCTTTGACTCTAATATGTCAACAACATGAAACAAGAATATGAACCTGGCTTCATCCAATGTTCACACAAGAGTTCTACATCCTGACACATCCTTCATCTACACTGTCTCAACTGAAAGAGGACCAGAAACACACAAAATATAATAAAATGTGGAGACTTTCTTTTACTTTTGGACATTTTACAGACCAGCCATGTCGTTGATGTCACTGTTTACCAAACTACCACTTTTTCTGAAAAATGCATAAAATGATGAATTCATGGTTTATACATGTGATTACTGGGGTTCCATTTCTTCTGATTACTTAATTTGGGCGTGCACATTTGCCGAGCGCAAACCTACCTCTTTTGGATTTGGAAAGGTTGGCATGTATGTAAATGTATATTTATTTCAGTGAAAATCAACAATATTGGGCATAGCGCCCTTAAAAATAACTTTTATCTTTTGTCCTATTCAGTAAATGTTTAAGTTAAACATTTTGTACTTTTACTTGAGTACGATTTTTGTAGTATTTCTATATATTAGTATTGTAGTATTGCTTCTTTTACTTGAGTCAAAGATCTGAACACTTCTTCCACCACTGCCCATTGGTAAGTTTTTCCCTTCAACTGAAGCTACATAATGCTAATGTGACCTGATATTTAGTCCTGAGTGTTGTGCTATAAGAAAGGCTCGGTCTCATTTGCCAAATGCTATCACAATCTGATCATAAGAGTTTGAAACAAATCTTTAGAAAGGCTTTCGTTGGGTGTTTTTCTAGGTGCTGTATTTATTTATTAGCTATTAGACCGGCTAACTCACGTCACCACTGCTAAGCTAAAGGTGGCTAATGTTAGCATGATGACGTTTAGTAGTCTCATAGCCTCATGTAGTCTCTTGTTAGCAACCTCTGTTTTTAAGACACTTCAGAAATTCACCAGTGGGGTATTTACTGATGAATTTTATGTCTAGAACGCAACATAAAAATCTCGTCAGCTGGTGTTACAAGTCAACACAGTCTCACGGCATTTTGTGTTATAGTCAAGAAATGAATCTATTGATTCGTGTACACCAACACGATTTCGCAATTTTTTTCCTGTCACACAGAACGATTTTAAAAGCAATGTAAATAATAACAAATTAGAAGGAAAAATAGATTTAAAAAAATACAGATTTCAGTATTCTGACACAGAAAAATTGGTACCACTTTACAGACTACCCTTATAAAGGGTTTACGAATAGTTTGTAATTAATTAATTAATTAGGTTGTGAACACTTTATAAATCATTAACAAGCTTTTATAAGACATGAGATAAACAGGGCAACTGTGACCGGTTGCTTGCCAAATAGTGAGCCCACATTTATCTGTACTGCTAAGCCTTATTAGAAATGGTAGTAACTCATTAATAAATGGGAATGTGTTTCACACTTTACAATAAGGCTCCCTTTTGGCAGTTATAAATGTTAGTAACTCGTAAATAAATGGTCATAAAGAGATGACAAGAAACATCAAGATGGATGGGGGGGGAATAAACTCAGTGAACAACAGATACCAAGGATGTGCTGGCTGATGAAGAAGACGAAGTAAGCTAGGTCGCCAATATAAGGCTTAGTCATCTTGCCAAATAGTGAGCCTGTGTTGATGTATGAAAACTATGTTAGAACTGGTTTATAAATGGTTCTTAATGATTAATAAAGTGTTTACAACCTAATTAATAACCTAATTATAAACCCTTTATGAATCCTTTTTAAGGGTAGTCTTATTGTAAAGTGGTACAGAAAGATTTTAGAAGCAATGTAATGTATTTCTATTGGTAGTATGTTTCGTGCCTGCACCAAATAATAACAAATTAGAAGTTAAAAAAATGACAAAAAATACAGATTTCAGTATTCTGAGGCTCTTTGCCCCATTTCTTTCCCTCGCGGATGGCAAAAAAACTCCGACATTATACAATTTTAAATAAAAGGGATAGGGTTAGGCCAGATGTCGGCAACCCGCGGCTCTCGAGCCGCATGCGGCTCTTTAAGCCCTCTGCTCTAGCTCCCTTGAGTTTAGACAAAAATAAGAATTAAATAAAATAAAAGTATTTGTAAGACTATTTATATTTTGTTGCACGGTTGAAAATGTTTGGTATCTTGTATTATGAGGTGATACTGTGACAGATAAATAAAAAACAAAACTGTTTTAATTAGGTCAACTAAAATATGCGTCACATCCTGCTACGGTCCCGTGCTAGCGCCTTTTCTTGCAGGCGAATAACCTGACCCCCGGCACGATGAGCAAACTATGGATAAATCAAAGAAAAGTACCGGAGGAACACAGGCAGTGGCGGCCGGCCCATAGGGGCGCTAGGGGCGCCGCCCACCCTCTTCCCACATGTTTGATTGTCATTAAAAATTAAAAATAGATATTTTTAAAAAAAATGTATTTTTATTTTTAATGAACAAGGTAAATATTATATAGTTGGTATCAGTAAAATGTATAATCTACAATAAAATCTCATTTAAAATTGTTTTACGATGTCTAAAGTTACTGATAAGTCACATGTTTCCTGCCTGGCCGCAGCGTGTATCATTACCCTCTCTCGTCCGGGCGGTAGAAAGGAGCCCTCAGCCAGAGCAGCAGCAGCCAACAAGCTGACTGTTGCTATCTGTATACTATGCCGCCGAAACATAATTTCAGCCAATCAGCGTCGTCAGATCTGATGTTCAAAGGGCGCCGTGTCAGCGCCCTGGCCTGTGTGTCTGTGAGTTGTTTGGACTCGTATCCAAGGTGACGCTACAGTAGTTGTCGAGGATGGCTGCGTCTGCAGGTGGAAACTCCGGTGCTAGTGGATCGCCGGAACTGTAGATTAACATTTACATGCTTATTGTAGTTGTAAGGGCAATGCCTGTAGCACCATGGAGCATATGTGTGGGCTGGACCTGTATTTTACAGGAAAGGAGTGAGCAGAGGGTGGAGTTGTTGATTCTTGTTCAGTTTTCATCTTCCTCACCCTCTCAAACTTTGAGTTGCGCACGCTGCTAAAGAGACGCGCTACCATGGAAACCAAACAATGGTGTAGCTGTATTAAAGTCCGAGTGGAAACAGTTGTGAGTAAATCTGATTTTGTCAGAAATCGGAAGAAATATGACCCCGGGAGGAAACCGGGAGAGGCCAATGAAATCGGGAGTGTCCCGCGAAAATCGGGAGGGTTCTATTTCG